GATGCACAGTCAAGGTGTGTGTGTGTTTTAAAGTGCAAAATAAACGTCATGGTAGTTGGCTTTTTTTGAGTTGTTCATCCTGATGTGCTAAGATGTATTTTTTTGTTGAGGTCAAGAAATATGCAATTATTATTAATATTCTTATCAGCAATTAATGCCTTTCTCTTCCTTTTCCTGCCCCTAGCACTGAGATCTCCAAAATAACTGATAACATGCAACTGCTTGCATCATATGATGTTTATCTACATCAATATATGATATTTATTGGCTGTTTCATTCTGCTAAAAAGAGGGGAAAAATGGTAGTGTTCAGCTGGAAAGCCAAATAACTGATAAAGCCAAATAGAAGATAATAATACAGAATTGCCTTGAGATATTAGCATTGTTTGAAGATATAAAAAGGTAAATCAATATAATGTATCATAAAGAGACCCATTAGGAGATTAGCTGGATATTACTTTGCTGATAAATATTGAAGATACATTTTTATCAGGGCATGATTAAAAACAGTGAATATAAAGCCTGATAACTGATTAATGAGAAAGCTTGATTATCCTGAAACCCAAAATATAGGTGTTAAATTCTATTTCAAACTATTTATTTATATAATAAAATCTTTATTATCTCCTTCTCTCCCCATTTCTTCAAACATTTGTTTTGGTAATCTTATATGAACAAAGCTAGTCTTCCTCAAGCTTGTACCCTTCAGAATACTAGCAATCTAGATTTCAACCACACCATATTATTCTGGGAATCAGCTTGTTGTCTGGAGTCGCCTGCGGGCTGAGAAGGGCAGTATACAAATACAGTAAATAAATAAATAAATGAATAAATTGTCTAGCCCACTGCTTCTTAAACTGTGGGACCCAACCCCAAATGGGGTCCTTTTAGCTCAATGTTGAGGACACAAATATTTGGCAACAATAAAATGTTTCTGAATGTCACTTTGTGGTTGTTTTTGTTTGAGTCCCCCTAGGGGTGAGAAAAACTGTATATAAATGCTGTAAATAAATAAATAAATAGACAGTTACACAAAAATCTGTTAGTAACAACATCAATGTTAACATTGGGCTCTGCAGAAAATGCCTCAGCTGTACTTTATAAAGAGGAAAATCAGCCTGTTTAGCAAGCCTTGCAAATGCTAATTTATTATCAGTAATTTTTTATTTCTACTTTGTATACCCATATACCCAGAGTCACATAAAATTTATCAGATGGAAAGGCGTTATGAAGGGAAAAGTTTAAGTAGCTTTGGGTCTAATTTACTTGGTTTAATTAAGTCTTCCTTATGTATACACCTCCCATTGTGGCACATTCTGGGAGTTTCTCATCTTTTGAGGACCATGGTCTTGAAATAAGGTGTGAATGTGAAAGTCAGAATTATGCAAATAACCTTTGATCTGCTAAACTATAGATGTGATTGAAATAACATAAATAGATTTGTGTTTCTGGAGCAAAAATATTTGACTTTCTCCTCTTCAAAGATTGCTACGTACATAAATTGCTTTTCTCAGACTATTAATACGTATTTACCAGTATATAGTGAAGTTTGGATTCATCTGGATGTAAATGTATGGAATTTAATTTCTGTAAACATTCTAATTGAAGAAATACCACCCCAAAGTCAATTAATACGAACCTTGCAATCGAGTACTAAAATTGCATTGTTTTCATGAAGATGAAATATAAAGAATAGCTTTCTATGTGATAAGGTGTATTATGAATAAGCTGGGAGTGATAAATGTACCAAAAGAAATTCGTCACAATCAGATCCAGTATTTTAAGGAAATTGTGCTGCCACATACTGATTTATTTCTTGTAATATCTGTTGTAGCTTCTGAATGCAAGGTTCTCCTTGTTTATTTTAAATCCAATATAAATCCAATATTGAAGACAGGTTGAGATGAGGTATTCAAGAACATTAGCATGTCCAGTTTTGATATATACGATTCAGCTGCTACTGTTCAATGGACAGAGAACATTTCTTATGGGATTTTTGCTCTTTTTATTGGGGCTTGTGAGGACACCAGGGTGCCAAAGACGATTTGAAAAGCTATTTTATAGGTGTCTGTGAATGTTTTGTGCTTCTGAGCCTTGTGAAATATTTTCCTTCCTAGTAGTGAAAAGTGAATGTCAGTTTCAGTTTCTTGTTCCACCAAAGCTCAAGTTAATTTCATACCATTTCTAAACCAGTTGCATTTTTGTAAAGCCTTTTTTGTGACTTTTTCTATATATTTACCTTTTTGTAAAATTGTTTTGCTTCTTTCTCCATGTGTGTTTTACAGTTTCTCTGGATATATATACGTTTGCAAGTAGTTTTATCACATGTGGGGCTAATTCCCATTTTGAATTGCTGATTACAACATAACTCCCCCCTTCTTTCCTTCCTTTACCTTTCCATTCCATTTGAAAGCAATTGTGCTGTAGTCCTAGCGGCTGATGAACGCCTACCCACCATCCATCCTTATTGTCACTTCTGTGGCCTCTGAGTCAGAGAGAGCAAGCAGTATCTGCTGTACTTAATCCCCAATTCTACTGCCATATACTTTTCCTCATTTAGGTTGTAAATCTGAGGGTGAGGAACTGTAAAATCAACATACTTTTTTTGGGTGAACAGTGAGGTACAACTACTCTAACAAATAAATGGAGCTATATAGTGATTGTATATATACATGTGTTGTTTAGGGCAGTCATCATAATCAAATCTGCTCAAATTTACTCTTTTGGTCACGAATACATATATTCACATTAAAACTTCATCATAAAATATAAAAACATTGAAGTGTTATTCTGTTTCTTTTAAATGATGATTGAAAACTTTGAATTAGATGTGGTTGTATAAATGAACTCTATGACTTTCCTTGAGAGACATTGTGGGGTAGTGGTTAGAGCATTTGATTTCAACTTAGGAGATCAGGGTCTGATTCCCTATTCAGTCCTAGACCTGGAGCAAGTCATTCTGCACCCTTGGAGAAAAGCAAAGGCACCTCCCTCCAAACAAATCCTGCCAAGAAAAACCTATGATAGGTTCACCGTAGGGTTGCTATGTGCCAGAAACAGCTTGCAGACACACATCATATACATATTCTGTGTTCTACTTAATTATTCTACCCTGTATCTGAAGTTCTGTAGTGAAATGCAATCAATAAAACATTTTAAAAGAATTTCAAAATAATCTGAACTATTCAGAACAATTCAGGGTCATTGTGCAATAGAATTAGATCCATGATCCAATAAACGAAAACCAGGCTTTGAACATTGAGCTCCAAGAGTCTGAAAAGTTAGCTAAGTTTTTATAGCATTGAAACTATAGGTGCGTCTACTCTACCATGTAGAATTAATGTGGTTTGAGATCACTTTAACTCTCATGACTCAATGCTAAAGAATAAATAATGGAAGCTGTAGTTTTACAGGACCTTTACTCTTCTCTAGGAAATAGTGCTGGTGCCTCCCCAAACTACAACTGCCTTGATTCCATAGCATTGTGTCATGGCAGTTAAGGTGGTGTCAAACTGCATTAATTCTACAATGTAGAAACACCCTAAGAGGAGAGCATGAAACAGGCAAAGAGTTCTGTAATTTTGTGCTCCTAACAGTAGGATAATGATAAGACAGTAAAGCTTTGAGAAGATAATGATGATGGGGAAAATGGAAGGAAAAAAGGAAGAGAGGCAGACCAAGAACATAATGAATTGATTTTATCCTTGAAGTGACTGGCGTGACCTTGAAGGAGCTGGGGGGTGGTGACAGCCTATAGGGAGCTCTGGTGTGGGCTGATCAATGAGGTGACAAAGGGTCAGAAGCGACTGAACGAATAAACAACAATAGTAGGGTACATAGAAGACACCCTCACCTCACCAGATTGTATCATTAGGTACAAGTCAACATTACTCTCAGAAGCCGAAAAATTAATTTTGTGATTAAATGTTCATACAGCATGACCATTAGGCATATTAGCTGCAGGACTCTGGGAGTCATGGTATCAAGGAATTGACTTTTCCAAGATCTAGTTCTACCTGTCAGCAAAGACTTAAAGAAGTCTTTCCACTTCATTTCAGGCATTTTTGTGTTGCTTCCGGATGATATTCTGTGAATTACTTACTTACTTACTTAGGCGATCCCTCGTTGGACGAGTAAGATGGTCTTCCATTATGGATTTCCTTGTGGGTCCGTATGTGACTGTGGAGCCCTATTCTTGCTCTGCATCTTCTTCCGCAGTGAGGGCATTGGTTTCCAGGTGGAAGGCGGTCCCGGTCGGGGTTGGCTTGACGCGCCTTCCTCCTGGCACGTTTACTATGTTTAGGGCACCTTTTCTAGCCCCCTCCCCGTGTGGGGTGAGCAGAGTGGGTCCTAAAAAGGGCTGCTCAGTCGCGGATACAGCTGCCGAACTACTCAACTGCCTCGGACCTTGAGGTAGAATGACTGAGTCCGTACCCACCGCCCATGTGCCAGTCTGTGACTAGGGGCTTCCAGATTTCACAGTCCTGCCCCCGTCGCCACTCGCTGATCGCCATGGGGCTTTCGTTGGTTTGTTTTTATTTTCTTTGGAAGACGCTTGTGCGTGTTTTTTTTTAATGTGTGGAGGTCAGTGCACAACTGATCAACACACAGACTTCACAGAGTGAGGTTCCACTGGTGATGTAGTTTAACACAATGACCGTGGCTTCTCAGTCTGTTGCAGCCTTCTTCCGCCTTCGCAGCCGTTGTAACATGTGGCATGTTATCCTCCGCCTGCTCCGCCGTTGAGATCTTTGGGTCTTCGGACTGTGCTTGGTCTGGAACCTCCCCCGCGGCCACTCCTGGGAGTGCACGACTCCAGTTGTTGTGCCTACAGGTTCATCGGAACGCGCAAGCCCCCTCACCACGACAAGGTGGCAGTCCATCGAGGGGGATTCTGTGAATATATTTGGTTGACTTGATGACATTCTTCTTCTCTGCTAGCCTTAAATGGGTTTGGTTGGCTACTTTGTGTTTTTAAAGTTCATTATATGTTTCTTTCAGGTTTGGGATGCTATGGATCAAGGTTGCTGTTTAAAAACATACCATCACCACACTGGTGCCGTCCGAGCTGTTCAGTGGTCTCCATGTGGAAGCCGTTTTGTCACTGGAGGTTTTGACAATATGCTTCATGCTATAGACATTGAAACAGGTAAATGTTGTTACAGTCATCTGTTTCTCTCCCTCTTCTTTATTCACTCTCTCTTTCTCTCTACAGCATTTTCACAGTTGCACCAACAATGAAGAAGATATAGATGTCCATAACTGTGAGGATAGGAGGAAAAGTTATAAATGTTATTTAATCTGTGCTAGAACCCTAATTCTGAAAATTGAATTGGATCTTAAGATATATTGTTAAGTTGTTGGCTTTCTATGGGAGTTTCTGAACTGGGAAAATCTTGTTGTGTGAGTTCCATATGTAAACTGTGGCTTGTTTAAGAGATATTGATTCATATAATTGGATTTTCATGTAATTTCATCCAAGCTGAAAAATTGTTAGGCTGCGTGGACACTGAGGAAGGCTATCAAGTTAAAATAACTGGCTGTCAAAAGTAACCCTTTTTCTATTTGAAAGTAATCGTCTAAATATATGTGATGCTAAATCTTTCTTTGTATATATGCATAATACATATTTTAAATGTAATTGTGCCATATTGAGATGCCACTGATACCAAATGGGACAAAGTCAGCATGGAGAGGGAGTTTAACCCTTACCTCCTTTGTTCTGAAGCTGGTAAATTTGCATTGTTAGGAAACCTCCATTGACACAAATAGGGGTTTTCTCCTAAAGACATATTAGATGCAGAAGAAGGATTTTCTTAGGGCACAGAAGGGAAAGAAATGGTTAATTTCCCTCCCTGTGTCTGCTTAGATCCTGTTAGTTATCAGCTCCCGACTGATCCAATTTGTATTTTAGAAAAACGATGTTAACTGCAATGACACATTTAATATCTTGTGTGCTTTGGTTCCAAATTCTACTGAAAGACATCTTTCTGATCAAGATCATTAAGGACTCATACGTAAGCATTTAATTGATCAACTGAATTTTCTAGGATGCCGCTTCTAATCTTTCTGAATGTCTGTCTCTTTATCACTTCTTAATATTTTGAACTAATGTCTAATACCAGTTTAACCTTCATCTTAGTGTCTTGGTATTTAAATTATTTCTTCATTAACTGGAAATTTTGAAGAATTAACCGTGCGAATCTGTTTCAATATATAAAAGGGGGAAAGGAAGGACTCTTGTGACACCTTTCAAACTAACCAAAGTATTTTGGTATTTTCTTGGATTTTGTTGTTGTTAATTGACACTCCATGGAGTTTGCAAAACTCTCATCCAACACCCTATTTCAGATGATTTGGTTTTCTTGTTCCTTTGCATTATCTTAAATAGTGTATTCAGGGAATGATATTCATCATCCGTTACCTGATTTTTAACTGGTTTATTAAGAATTAATATATAATTGCCTGTCTGGGTCTTACTGGATTTTTTTTGTTATCTTGGGGGTTTTTTTTTTACAGCTTTTGCTATTTCATTATGGTAATTAGATGGTTTGATTGATATTTATTTTGTAGTTTATTTTATTGCATGTGTAAGCAGGTATTTGTATACAGCTAAATCTCACATAATAAAGTAGTTGTTCCTGGACACATAATTCCTTTGAAGGTACTGAGGCTAAATTACATGGAGTAGTCAAGTTCCTACACTACCACACAAAAAAGGCAGTTCAGCATGTTTCAGCAGACTTTTTATGCACATCTAACCATATGAATGTGTGAAGTGAACTAGCCAACATTGGCCAAGCTTCTCCCAAAGACTGCTTCTTCCAAAATGCCTCTAAGAATGATCAAAATTTTATTTTACCAGCGTTGTGATTTCCATTTTGCTGGCCAAACTTATAGATCTTGGTTTTTAAAAAACATATCCTAATATGAGGTGGGCTTATTTGCTCTCCTTTTAAAATCTGTTTTGCTGTTCAAATGTTCAGCAAGAGGTCCTGGAGGCTGCTGCTTACTTTGCCTGTTGTAGGGTTAGAGTATATGTGTCAACAGTAGATTCAGCTAAATTGGAATACCACTCTTTCCCAGTTGAAGCTTTATTGCATTGTTTACTAAAGAAATGTTCCTGCAAATCAACACTGAAAGTCTATGTTTCTCTATAAACAAATAGTCTTGTTCTGGACAAGACAGAAGTGTTCCTGGTCAGGGAATAGGATTCACTCTTTGCTGGATGGGGTTCCCTTGAAATGTCTGGCTCATGCCTTGAGTGTGCCTGTTGCACTTCCATCCATTAGGGAGAGATGTTAAAATCACACCTATTTAGGATTGTATAATTTCCTGTTTTGAACAGGCTACTGGCCTATGGTCTTCAAGGTCTCTTCTAACTGAATGGATTTTATATCTTTAGCAAGCATAAGTCCACCTTACATTGCATATGTCTTTTTGGATGGTTGTGGGGATTGGTTGTCTCTTCTAGCCTATGCAAATATCAAAGCTTCAGCATATGATGTCAACAAAGGAGGGATTGAATACTTCTCTGACCCCCCCCCCTTCACCAGCCATTAAATTGACTTTGTTGGGGGGGGGGTGGGCTGTACAAGCTAGATGATGAATCAAGGAAGAGGGATGTGCAGTAGCATAGTTCTGCCTGAGTGTAGGCTTCTATTGAAGATTGTGAAACCATTCAAATGTGATGGCTGTACTTCAACTCCCAGTGGTCCTAGGTAAACATGGCCAATATGATGGATATGGATGTTTAACGTTTTGGGTGTTTACACAATCTCCATCCTTATTGTAAAGGAAGATTTAAATATTTCATCTGATGGTTCATGCCACCTCCTAAAACAGATTATTTGTGGGGAAGGGAGTAGATACCTACAGTTCTTTTGGCATAATCTTGTCTGTCAGCTGCCATCTAAAGGAGTTATATTTTTGTCCTGAAAGCTGAGACTTCATCATTACTGTCTTGATTTACTGGCTGTGTTGTAGTCCTGCGGGCATTTGAACATGTGGTCAGTGACCAATTTGTCCAGATCGCTATGGGCAATAATAGTATAATGTAGTACATAAACTAGCAATATGGCACTTGGTCAGCACCACTTTTTCTTTAATGCTGTACTTCTGGAACTGGTGTCCCATCAGGTATATACCTTGTAATGAAGGGGAGTAAACATAACTGCACAAACATTAAATCATTCTAGTTCAGCACCCCACAAATGACATCTTTCCAGCTTTAGTGTATTAAAGATAGATTTATTTGTACCACTGCACAATACACAGTGTGCCTGTTATTTTTGCAGAGGAGATTACAGGACTTGATCAATTGGGATGTTAGTCATTTGGAATAGCCTCCTCTTGTATCAATGTCCCCCATACCTCTCTTCACAATGGTATTTTCAACAATTTAGAAAGATGAGACTTCAGTACATTTTGGTGACACCATGGTAACACCATAGAAGCCACAGTTTGCTCACTTTATGTCAGGACAAATTGATCAGAGACTCCTGAATTGTTCAGAGGCACTAACTCAAGACAGCAGGGAGAAAAAAAAGCAGCCATGGCAGATGCTGCTGACCAACTGGAAGCAGCAACCCTCCCATCCTCCTCATCTCTGGTGAGGGGGGCAGTCCCCTGTTCTCCTATTCATGAAACCCAGGACATTGTAAGGCCTTATGTATCCTCCATCTTCTACACATGACAAGTGCCTGGGACCAGTGAGGATAAAGACAGATTCAAGGTACTTTGTCAGGCAGGAGGGAAGAAAAGAAGAAGGGAAGAAGGGAGACAGAAAGTTTGGCAGTGTTGTTTCTCCTCTCTCCCCACTCCCCCACCCCCCGTTGCCTTGCCTAAGGAAGGACTTAGGCTCCCCCCCCCCAAGTTTCTTTCATGCTCGTAAAGTCATATTTTATTGCACTAGGACTTCACACTCCCCTCCCCCCAGAAAACTGTGTGCATTGGCATATAGACTTCTAAAGCCTTATTTATTCAATTTTTTCCGAAGTAGTCACATCTCTTTTAATCAAACATCTTCCTGATGTTTATTTTTTTCCCAAGTAGTCGCATCTCTTTTCATCAAACATCTTCCTGATGCTCTCACGGGAAAGCTTTGTAATCTCCAATTTTTAGAAGTCACAGAGGCCATGTAGAAGAGAAATGTGCTGTTTACCTGTAACTGGTTCCTCATATGGTCATTTGTGAACTCATACTTTCCCATTTACTCTCAAGGGCTTGCTTATATTTGTACCTTTGTTTATTTGAAAACTCAGAACTTAGGGAAATTGGAGAGAGTGGTACTGACATATATGTGGGACAAGGTGGGTCTCCTGCCAAACATTTACATAGCTCACCTTGATACAGGCATAGGGACAATCAGATGCCCACTCGAAGAATCACAGTTAAATGATAAGCAAACTCTTTTTTGTTAAAAGTTTTAATTGAAAAAGAGAGAGAGAGAAGGCGGATGAAGGCATATAAATTGTTGGCTGTCCTAACTGACCCATGAAAATGCCACCTTACAGGTAACTCCCCTTCATGTTGCTGGGTGAAAATCTTTCCAGGCAGAGTTTTCTAAGGAGGAGAGATTGGGTGGCTGTCAGAATAGGTCCTTTTAAATAATAGATGTAACAGTGTTTTTCCTGAAAAAGCAACATTTGATAGCATATTTTAAACATTGTTTTATTTAAGTATTATTATTTTTTAGCTTTTGACATTTTACAAAATGTTCCTGTTTTCTATAATTTTGTGATCTCCATGTTTTCTTTGTGTACGTGTATGTAACAGAAATATAGGCTTGAACTAAAGAATACAAGTTTGTTCTGACACCAACTTCCACATCCTTTTCTTGTTTATCACTAACCCCAGCTTTCCTGTGAGCCTTTCAGCAGAAAATAGCTTGTTACTAGAATCCAAATTGGGTGCATTCTCACTTGAAAAACATAAAGCCAGCTGTAGAGATTAGAATTGCATTATTTACTGAACCATTTGTTCACCTCTTTCCATTCTTCTTAATCAGTGCAGAGCTTATTTAATCATTTATCAAATTCACTGAGATATTTTTCAGCAACATATTTGGGGTTCTCTCTTAATTTCTGTTTTAGGCAAAGATTGGGAGAAATTCTTCCTTCTTCTGCATTAGATGAGTGAGGCTTAAGG